ATCACATCGAACATACCAATATCTTGTTAAACAAGTCACAAAAAAGGAATTTTAAAACGAATTAAACGATTAGCAAAGAGAACCTGGTGGATGTCGCTAACGCCTCGCTTGTAATGCCCGTCTAGGAACCTTGACAGCTAGTGACGGAGGTTGTCTCGCCTCCGGCCACGCCGAGAGAAGAGGGGCAGGAGGAACTCCTCTCTCCCGAGAATGCCTTCTGTGTGTCGCAGAAGTCGCTATTGTCCCCCTAGAAGATTATAGAAGATTAACCCGTCACTGAAATTTTGCACAAAAGCAGCCGCTTCGGTGGCTGGAACAACTAGGCCATCCTCTCGACGTCAGCCTCGCCGTAGCTTTGCTCGTCCTGAGACGACCTACGTCACGAATGCGTTGGATGTCACGTGGTCTCCGCCGGGCCTTCTCCGAGCGTTTGCCAGACTGGGCTGTTTATAACGAAAAATACAGCCACCAGGCTCAAAATACAAACGTGCGATTGTCATTTAAGAATATTGTGGATCATATTCAACCTATTTTTGAACACGACGGGAATATTTCAAATTTCGTTGAAGTATCCCTTTAAGACTCGGAAATAACAAGACCCGTAAAAGCTCTCGAGTGAAATTACTAGTTTATGTGGAGCACTTAAAGCGGCCTGTCTGTTGCCGGATGTCTCGAAACAAATGAATGTATTGAGTTTAGTCTCTCGCCGGACGAGTTATTTCGCATCCTTCACTTTGTGGATATTGTCCGCTTGTTCATTTTCTAGTATTCGCAAACCCACAGCGGTGATCATGAAATATTGAAGTGACAAAATCAATATATGCAAAAATTCACTCCTTAGAATTCCTCTGATTGGCTAGGCTCGCTCCTGGCAGGCAACTAAGTATTGTTACCGATTGTTAAAGCAACGCAGGACTTGACTCGTAATGTACACTCTAAGAAAAAGTGAGCACACCCCCTAGTCATCATGCGTTTTGACGGCTGTAATTACCCACAGGCTTACTTAACTACCCACTGGGCTCGAGCCATTGAGCGTTACCTCCCTCTTGGCAAGTGACAAGCATGGGGTAGTCACGTTTTATAAGCTCTTGAATTGAACATTCAAGTGTGTGCTGTTGTTCAATAGTAAAAGTCACTTCAAAAATCTCAAAAAGTATTTAAGACTTGTTCTCTTTGTGCGTTGGTTACAATTTATTCAAATTTGAACCGGTCGAAACAGCCGTGTGGCTCAGTTCGCCCAAACTGGCAGAAAACAAACATTTCCATAGAGTACAGTCAACCTTAGTAGGCACCGACTAAAACCCGAGGCAGATAAAAAGTATCGCGGTTGTCCATTTTGGTTCCGTCGCGGGTTTTACCATGTACTGCTACTAAACAGCTGGCAGCTGGCGTCGTGCTCGAGGAATTTAACCAAATCTCTAGAAAAGCACAGGAAGCTACGCACAGGCGTGAGTTGACTGGAATGTTCGCCGGACGAGATACTCTTGTCGTCTTTTATTGTGCGGTTCAGTAAAGAGCGTGCTCTCATTAAACGTGTGATCGGTCAATTCTCCGTGCAGATCAGTTGCAAATGGCCTCCTCGGGTCCGCCGAACTTGCACGCCTGTCATACCCAATTTGTTTGCTTTCAAGTGCAGTGAAGTATGAAGCATTGAACACCACGACTGAGGCCGGACAGGACGAACGTACACAGATATCTGGGACCATGCCCGTGTATTTCAGTATTTCTCTGTCTTGAGATATATGATTCGCCTTCACTGGCTCAATTGGCACATTTCATTGTGCATACTCGATAAAAAATGCTTAAAACAAAAATGCTTCAAACAAGTGTGTGTCATCCCACGTGGAGTACTTTGAAGGGGACTAGGATTTCAGGCCTTTCGGCACGCGTTCCTTTTACCTATATAAAAGATTCCTAGTAAATTTCCAAAAATAAGGCGTTGGCAAACATACACGTGCTATTTAATTTAGATTTTTTTTTTAGAAAAACTACTGCTGCAGAAGCCAGCAGGTGCAGCGCAGAGAACTATGTTCTCGGCGTTCTTTGATGCTTGAGGCCGGTTAAAACACTTGCCTTTGAATGCGTTTGTCAGCGTTGCGTCGAGAACCGAAAGCGACTCACCGGCACATCTGTGCTTCGTATGAAGCGTGGAATCCAATTCAAGGAATCGTCTTGGCACGCGATATAAGCAGCAGGGATGTCCTGGTTTCTCGCTGCCGCAAAGCAGTCAAACGCAACTGTCTGAACCAGACCACCAGGGCCCGTTTTCTCGAACGCAAACCGTGGATTAAAGTTAACTATTGTCCCTAGAACGGGGAATTGTAGGTCACGTGACTGGGCGAGCAGGGGCGCCGAGGGAAAAGCAGTACCTACAAGCAAAATGGCCGCGACGTCGCTTCTAATAGTTCTGCTTGGTTCTGCCGAACATTCATTTCGATCCGGCTGTTATATTAATGACGCACCATCAACCTATTAGCACGTCAAGCAAAGCAGTAGTTCAGAGGGGCAACTAAGCTAACCGACGGCAGCATTCCGCGAACGCATCACTCTTCAGCAGTCCGAGATCCAAGACGTATGACGGTACATAAGCCTTGCAAGTGTTTTTATGGTGAGTAAAAAAAATGTTTTGCGAACGAGTGTTGGTACATATTTATACTAAGACGTTTAATTTGTTACACTATGCACGCCAACTCGTGAGCAGCGATTACTTTGCGGAGAAAGGGGGTTATCCTCAATAAAGTCTTCGTTCGGGGTGAACAACTGAGACATTGTACTGTTTTTTTTTGTTTTTTTTTGTTTTTTACAATGCGCCGACAGTATGCCGACAGCATTGAGGTTTCTACATATCCCCGGTGGCCAGCAATTCAACGGTGACGAGAAGCTGGTGACGAGAAGCTTAGCTTCTCGTCACCGGTGAATCGGTTGGGCAAACGGAAGAGAGGGCAAACAGTTGAGATCAGCAGGAATCGCAGAAACGTGCGTCGCAAGGAACGAAAACGAGACTACAGCACCGGCGTTGCCAGACTGGAAGAAACACGGGAAAGTTATGCGTTGTTTATGGCGAAACATATTGAAGGAAATGTTTTTTACATTTTCGAATATTCGTCGACAAACTCTAGCATAGTAGCTAAAATTTCTTCGTACCATCGGAAGCAAATAAATTGGTCTTCAAGTACAACCTTACTATATTTTGACTTAAAATACCATACTAGATCGATGACAACCAGTGGAAAAAGAGGATAAACAAAATGACTGACTTGTTTCACCGATAGATGACGCATCTTACTGCCCAATCAAAAATAATTATTGTTGCTCTATATCCAGCCGTTTATTACAGTACCTAGGTACTTTTTCCTTACTAGGTACCGTGGTTTACTAAAATGGGTTTACCATCGCTTTGAGAAAACCGGCCCAGGCGTCAGATAATTTAGCATACGTATTTCGCGTTCGCTGTACGGGCCAGAAAACGGCAATTCTGCACTGTCCTCTTGGCGCGAGCGCGAGCGCATAGAACGCATATTTGAAAGACACACGCTTGAGCAGAAACAATTGTAGCGAAAAGAAGAAAACTGAAACAACGCTTCGGGGAGGACCGGCGGACGGGCTTCGCTGGAATTAGTGCCACTAAATAAGCTACGCTTCAGAGTAACGACACTTGGCCATATTGTGGCTTAAAATCATGGTTGCCAGTTATCTGAAGCTTTATCTGAAATCACGGGAAATGCTTTTCCGCCCTCCACAAATGTTTAAACCGTTCGCGACAGAGCAAAGCAATATTCATACATGGGTAAATTACTTTCAATATGTAATTTAATTACAATTACAATTACTTCGCTCCAAAAGTAGTTTAACTACAATTACAATTACAACTACGGAAAAGTAATTCATCACAATCACAAATTACCTTTAAAAAGTAATGAAATTACTTTACAATTACTTATTTCTGAAAGCTACCCACCTTGACCCCTATAACTCTAAACGCGTTCTATAGCCGCTGTATAAATGTCACGTATTTTCCTCTTATGAAATTTGTTAAATGAAATATAGAACTTAACAGTTTGGAGTAATGAACTCCTGCGTTCTTCTATTGGCAATAAATAAAAAAATATTTTCTATACTCCAGGACGCCAGATCGCTAAGTCAAATTCGGTTGACACGTTTTTGTTAAGCAGGATAATAAAAGTACGACACTTACAGACATATCTGAATCTTTTATTAGTGTTAATATCAAAGTACAATCGACGTGCGCTAATACCAGCGCATACACCTACAAATGTTTCATGTTAATGTAAATTATGTACATTGAGTTGAAATAATAATGGCTAAGAAATTTATAAGAACCAAAAAGGTGCTCCCAAATCAATGGTGACCAAATTCAGAGGTGCGAGGTTAGTCTCCTCTAAATGTTTATGCAAATAGTACACAAGTGAAACCAACAAAGAATAAACTCGAAAATAATACACGGAAACAAATACGCGACAGTACTGGTATAATAAAACTCAGGCAAAAATGTCTGATAAGAGAAACCTATAAACGACGTCAGTCATTTAGACAATAAGACAACTTACGAAAACATTTCACCCGTGATGATTCCCTGCCTCAGTCTGTAAACGCGTAATATGCCGGATGTGGATAACCGTAGCACGCGAGCTGTGGTCGCTTCCATAAAACTAGTACCACGCAACTCTCCGAAACAACTCGAACCCTCGGACGAGAGAGCTCTTTTCAAGTATATGAAATTGCATCCTACTCATTTGTCCGAACCCCATGGACGCTACGACGCGATCGAGCATCGAATCACAGCATGCATCGTCACGGCGTTCGTCGCTTTGTGCGTCACAGGCTAAACCAGTCACGCAAACCTGCGCTCGTTTCAGATTGTCTCGGCCGGTGATAGCAAACGTACAAAGACCAGGAGCGGTGTGATGGAGCGCTGCTTGATCGTCTCATCGGGTCATAGAGTCGGCTGCGTTCGGACTTCGTGAAACGGAGTATGGTGACTAGTACACAAGGTCGCGCTGCGCAAGGCCGAACGTCCTGCAAGAATGAAGCTCGATCGCTGTTAGTTTCTTTTAGGAGAGATCACCGCTCACGTTTGACAGCTGATAACTTCAAAGTCCGGCATTGTACAAGCAATCATAGTTAACTGGAATCGTAATTTCCGTTATTACTCGGTATTTAGCAAGCTAAACGCCCATTGCATTTAAGGAGCAGCTGGTTTTCGAATTTTCGTCACTAAGCCGGCCACGCTTAACTGTTAGCACATCTCTAGCGACACTGAAGAGCCTCTCGGCTGCAGCAGACGAAGGTACAGGGGTGTTGAACCTCAAAAACAGCTTCCGAATGTTTGGGAAATCATTCAGGCATTTCAGGTCAGTGTCATTTCTGGCCTTCCACTGTTGCAATTCATCGGAGACAGTTCTGTCGAAGAGGACCCCGAAGAAATCCTCGTCTTCGGTGGATTGTGCGGGTCTGACGTCAGAGCTTTCGCTGGAAACCAGCTTCTCGAATTCTGCCTTCACTTCCAGCCAGCTGCTGTCTCTTTTCCCCCAGTCCACCCATGCCAGCCGGAATCGTGGGTGCGTAGCAGACGCAACAAGAAGATCTTTGTTCTCGAGCTGATCTGCAAACCTGATACATTTGGTATAATTTACCGTTGCGGCGGAAACAGTTATATCTAAATGGTCAAAATCACCTACCTCGAGGACACTCCTTGCTTTAGAGCGTCGACAAGAGCTCCACAAACTTTAAGCGGCGTCATCTCGTCAAGTGCCTTCAAGACTGACCATATCACGGGTAGAAGAGCTCCCATATACATGTACTTTTCCCCTTGTAGGATGTCGAGCGCCTTTGCCAATGGCTTCATGACCTTAAAGCCAGAGAGCGACATAGAACACATTATAACTAAAAGTTGTTTCGTTTTATTACGTTCCTAGGTTATTACAATTAGTGCAGTGCCGTGAATAACTGACCTTTGTATACTCCTCGATGAACAGAACTTCTTCGTCCTGAAGCCTTGGTAAAGCCAGTTCGTCGGAAATACCATCCAACACAGCTCGATCGATTCCACTAAGAAAACTCAGAGCGTCGTACAATGAGTTCCATCGGGTCGCACATGGTACGATCAAAAGACGACCGAGCTTCCTGGAAATGATCTCTGAAGAAACTGTAGAGTGCTGCTGCCTGTTCCAGAGAGCTCTGCACTTGCTGAGGGTTTTCGATGAGCAGCGGCTGTAGCTTGCATCATGGGAAGCTTCACGAGCGTCGACGTTGGCCACAAGGTTGAGTGTGTGAGCCGCACAGCGTTGGTGGTTTGGCAGGCAGATGAAATCCGCCGAGGTCGCTGGCCGGTCATCCAAAATAGCCGAGACGTCGAAAAGGTCAACTTCCAGATCATCTTCACAAGGCTTCTGGCCGAACACTCTTTATAGTGGGCAAAGAATATTTTGTATATTACGGATCTATAATTTGGCTATTTCCGGTGTCATATCTGCAGACGCTCTACCCGCTCATTCACACTGGAAGCGGATCCGTGTTCGCGAAGCGGTTGCGAACGCGGTTGTATAAAGATCCAGTACAAATGCACGCGCACTCGATGACATCAAGTGCGCGTCCAATTGTACTGGGTCTTTATACAACCGCGTTCGCAACCGCTTTGCGAACGCGGATCCGCTTCCAGTGTGAATGAGCGGTACGTGAGCCTGCAACTTTATTACAGGAAATTGCTAGCGCAAAAAGTATGGCATAGAGCAGCATTTTATTCAAGTGAGTCTGACTACTTCCCATTACCTATATCAGCTAGTTAGGTAAGGCGCCCATACCCTTCCCGTAAGATAGATAGTGAGCCAGTTGCGAAGTAAACAGCGTCAAGGTAATTAACCAGCGCGCAGCGAGTTTCATTTCTGCAGAATGGGGGGACGTCGAGGGGCAGGGGGGGGGGGGGGGGGGAGGAGGGAGCGGGAAAGACAGTGGGACAGTGCGACACAACAGGGAAATTTCACAAGCCTTGCCAACCCCCCCCCCCCCCCCCCCCCCCGATCCCAAGGCACCCGATCCCCTTTCCCTGTAATTATGTACCTGAATTACGCTACACAGCAGTGCATACAATTAAGAATTATTTTTTAAATAAAATAAACACACAGAACTGTCCGGCCCTAGCACGCATAGAAGGTTTGACCACCCTCCCCCCCCCCTTTCCCCCAATCTTTCATTTCATTTACAACCGCATACTTGAAGAAAAAAAAAGAAAGAAAGCGAGTGCGAAATATAGTGGCAAAAAGAAAGACAAAATTACTCTCCGAGAAAAATATATCGGCTTCATATAATTGTTTTGTCTTTTAGAACTCACCGAAATGCCTTGATGAAGTTGGATGCGTTATCGGTTACAGTGACCAAGATCTTGTTTGTTATCTTAAACTCTCGGAAGACGTCTTGCAAGGCAGCAGCGAGAACGTCGTAGGTATGGCGCCCTGTGAGACGTTTGCATGCCAAGATTGCGGACTCTCTTGCCAGAGATTCTGGGTTAATCCAGTGCACGGTAACACCCAAGAAGCTGCTGAAATAGGTAATAAATATAGGATCGTCAAGTAGCTAATCATTAGGATAGCAATGATTGCATCGATGTTATGTGTCTCAAAAACTCTGTCTCAAGACCGAGTTCTCAAGACCGATTTGAATTTCGCATGTCAAGAACCGACTCGAAAAGTTCATGATGTATCGGGTTTCGTGCATGTCTCAGTTCATTTTCTCAAAGAAATAAAAATAAATTTGTAATCGACTTACCGATGGAACGACGTCCAGCAGTCGGCTGTACAACACACAGTTTCGATTTTCTTTAGAATGTTCCTCAGAGAGTCGCGCATTTCACATGCAGCTGCTTCTATGCGGCTAACAAGGGTCTTTCGTGTCATAACGGCCTTTTCTGGTTGAAGCCCGTTGATTAGCTTGCGAAAGTCTTCGTCTTCCACCACAGAAAAACACTGAAACGTGCCGACAACAAAGTTAACAATTAACTTATCGAGTTGGCCCTGAGAAAGCACGGGAGACCGGCTGCCCTGTCCCATGAGTTTGTCCAGCCGAAGGTGTTTTCGTTCCTGGCTTGGACCAGCTTCATTGGCACATTTCTCCGGCCTCTTGGACGCCTCGATTTCATGAATTACTTGAGCGTGTTTCAGCTGGAAGATATAGACGAGCCATTATTATTATTTTTTTTTATAACTGTAAGTAATATTGAAATTGACAAGAATGTTACCTACCTGCAAATGTTTCCGCAAATTGGAGGTCGCCTTTCTGTTCGCTGAATATGTTTTCAGAGACGGTGCGCAAAGTTTGCACCTCACGATTATATTTTTCCCATTGCTGCTAATCTGTTCAAAGAATTTTTCGTAAGAAGGCCAGGGCAGCCTTTCCTTTTCCATTGTAGGTAAGCCTGTGGCAGGTTCTCAATGCGAAGCGACACTGCGAGCCTCCGAACCTTACACGGCTACGCAGGCCAAAGGGAGAGGACAACGCACGCCGATAGAGGCGTAAAAAAAAAAGTGCAAGCCACGCACATGCGTGAGGAGCCCTCTATATAAATATATATATAAAAAAAAAGCCTTTAACGAAAAACAAATGAACCAAACATGCTCCCGACTGTCACGGTTTGTAAAGTTTCGGAATCTCGTCAAGTAAAGTCGCGGTTTGTATAGTTTCGGAATCTCGTCCAATCAGGTTGAGAAACGGTTGAAAGGGTAAGGGGTCAGAGCTAACAGTAAAAAATAATAATGTATACAAAAAGGTAGACAAGGATTGGGAGAGGGAAGAGCAGTGTAGCAGAAGTTGCTGTTTGTGGTACCAACAGTCGAGCAAGAGAAGAGGGACATGAAAAACTCATAAAGATAAGAGAATAATTTCATAGACAATAAAAATCGCCAACCTTGACTGAAATATGTAAGCTAATATGCTAGCGGCGAAGACGCGCAAGGAGAACCTCGAACCTCCCCGCCTCGACCGAATGATGTGATCGGAGTCCAACCAGCTCGAATTCGACCCCCGATGCTCCCGGATGGGAATGAGAAATATAAAAGACCCCTAGAAACACGAGCAACAGGAAGCGAACGAGACGAAGAGACCGATTAAACTACGACAGGAGCCAAAACGGACGCGAACATTCATTGAATCGTTTTGCAGTCTACAAAACCGTTCATTCCGTTGTATCCCAGCAGCTCTTTCTCGTTCCTTCTTTCCCTCTTGAGATTGTTGGGATACACTCTACTGTACTGACGTCCCCGTGGCCGGGGGGGGGGGGGGGGGACGCCGGCGCCGCAAAATCTTGCAAAAGTAATTGTAATTGTGCCTGAAATTCTGCAATTACTGACGCTAAAAAGTAATTAAATTACAATTACAATTCCTTTTCACCAAAAGTAATTATTAAAATTACAAATTACCAGAAAAAGTAATTAAATTACAGTAATTCAATTACTGTAATTAAATTACTACCCAAGTATGGCAATATTACATGACCTTCCTAACACCGAATCTAATGCTGAGAAAGTCGCACTTTTGAATCATGACGATCGGCCGTTGCGTCTGTTCTGCATACGAGCCAAAATGGCGGCGCCCACAACAATGTCGGGGAACGGAGTGCCGATACTCTAAGCGCAGCTTATTTAGTGGCTCTAGCTGGAATCACCTGCGCGCGCTCAGTGTACTCAACATTTACTCAACCGCCGCTGAAGTCATTCGGATATGAAAAAAAGAGAAAATAAAATGCATCAGGGTGTTCAGAAAGTTATGATTGCAGAAATTGGTTTCGATAATTAATACAATTAATTAAACAGGCTTCTGTACTTGAAGTGAAGGCAAGCGAGAAAACGAAACTCATCAAAACGTGACGTGTAGCGACTATTCAATTTGATTTATAACCTGCAGTTCACTTTTGCAATGGATTACATTAGAGATACGAGCGCTTTCCTAAGGGCAGTCGAGGAAAATGATATATACGGATAAATCTCGCACAGTCTTTTCGTATTTATGCAAAATATGACAGTCGTCACCATCCTAATCGGTAACAGAAAATACAGCAGTATATAAGCTGGTGGTGTCGACTAGGCGTGCGTAAGGGGAGGAAGTGGCCGAGTGGGCTAACGCGTCTCAACTCGGAGCGTGGAGCCAAAGCTTGCGCTGGGAACCTCCTGGGTTCGATCCCCGCCGCCCCCGCCCGTTTCGATCTGGATGAGTTTCGTACCGGCACGCGTTCGTGTGATCACTACTGCGCGATGCACGTTAACAACCCCAGGTTAGCGGTTGTACCGGACTGGCCAAATTTCTCATCTACAGCTAAGAGACCGATTACCCGTTGAGGCGCATATCCATCAAGGCTGTATAAACATAAAGAGCAAGCCAATTTTTTTTCTAGGCGTGTGTGTAGGAATGTAGAGTGTCACTATCTCATGTTGTACCTTGTGCTGTTCGTGAACGCGTTCATGTATAATATTGTATGGTGTCTGTATGTCGCGTATGTGTCAAGTGTGGTGTGGAATACGTAGTACGTGCATGTCTGGCGAGGCGCCTAGAGGGAAGGCTGTTGGTTTCTTTTTTTCTTAGTTTGAGCGCTGTCCGTTAAGGGGCGAGTGTCGCCGCCCAATTCAAAAAGTCGCGCGTTTATGTGTCTACTTATTTGAGTGAAAAACATGGAGGCGCTCCATGGCTCCAAGGAGCAGCCACAAAGGGCTCGGTTCTCGGCCTCTCGTCCCAGTACGATCAGTCCCATAGCCAGTTGAATGGGTGTTCCGTGCGGTGAATAGTGCGTGCACAGACGTGGTGGGGATTACCAGGGGCTTGAAAGTGGATAACGAATGCTAACAGGTGAGCAGGAGCGTTGAACGATCGGAACCGACGCCGCTTGAATCGGTGATGCCTCGCCTCGCCGCTGTCAACCGAAAACACCAGATTACTTGCGGCAAGCACAGCAAGCAGGTTCTCTGTTCAATAAAGACACCATTTCATTTGTCGCTATACGATTCCTTCTTTGAACGTTTTCTGGCCGTGAAGTAAATGCAGCCGGCCGCGCGAAAGCAGTCGTGGACAAACCAACTGCCGCCGCCACCTCCCCCCCCCCCCCCCCCCCCCTCACATCGCCGCCCCTACTCGTAATAGGTGCGGTGCCGGTGCTTCGAGGCGCGTTTTGGAGTGCTTTAGTGCGCACGGAAGGCAGCGAACGGGCGAACGCACTTGAAAATCGTATTTTAGCGAAAAGCAGTCCAGCTCGCTAGGCCTTACTCGTACTGCTCCACTGTCGCTTGCCAGCCGCCATGTTGCTTTTGGGGGTGCTCACTGTGACTACCTGTTGACTGCATGCCGTGTGACTACCCATGGAGTCGTTAGTATTACTAAAGGGGGGTTAGCGATATCTGTGACGGCTTCTCACTACCCCAACTACCCTTTTGTTGAGAGTGTACACGCTTCTTACGGTGTGATTGGTTCTACAGAAATCTCGTAAGCTAATGCCGCAAACCTGTTGATTGCGATGCGATATAATAAGATGCCGAGGGACTCGGAACGCCTTGCGCCTCTCGAGTTCTCAAAGACTACACTCAGAAATTTGGAGCTTCTGCTCTCCCGCAAAGCACCGGGGAGAGCCAATCTCTGCAGTCTGCGGAGGGCGCTAGGGGAATGATAGGGTTGGATACGTCTTGACGCCCGAAAAAATGGGCTGCGTTGTGGCACTCAACACTGTAATACATTATGCCCACTTCCACTGTGCAAACATATTTTTTAGGTTTTAACATATTTTCAGCTCTGCCTTTCGCAGGGCTTTTTTCGTACATTGCAGTGATTCACCATCCTGAGTGTTTTCCGGGAGAGCAGACGCTTTAGATTTTTTTGAGTGTATAGTATTAAAATGTTCCCTGCCAACATGAGCACTGCTGCGTTTTGAAGCGCTCCTTAAATACGGCGACTTCGAATGTTGTGTGGAGGCGGTTTACCGAAAGACAGAACCACCAGTTTGAACGAAAAACCGTTTACTCACACTAAAACGTTCGCTCTGCGTGCGTTCGCGCTGTTTTTTCCCATACCTCTTAGCCAAAAGCCCATGTAAAAACTTCAAATATAAAAACATAAACGCAAAGAGAAGTTATGTTGAATGAAAGTGTTTGCCGACTTAACAACCATTAATTTGTTGCTGAGAAAATTAATGGCAAACGATACCCCATATCAATCATTCTGTACCACTGTGCTGCTCTTCGCACGTTAAAAGCCACGAATATTCTGCAAACCATCAAAGGCCTGCGCGAGGTTTCTAACTAAAACAAATCCGCCAATGAATATTTATTTTCAGTGTTCCCTCGCCGGCATATCGTCCCTCACCCTTGGATCTCAGTTGTATCTACTCAGCGGACTCATCTCTTACTTAGCCGGAAGAATGCCCTTGGGTGCGTTTTCGTCATGTTATCAAAAAACGTCTATTCGTGATTACACTCTGTCACACTTAAGTGGGCCTCTTGGATCTTCGAGCATGGATTTTTTAGATTTTTTTTTTTTTGCTATTTTTTATTTCGTTGCGCGTGCATTGCTCAATATTTATTGGCAGCGAAAGTATTCTGGCAGTTGCCAGATTGGTGACTTTACAATGTTTTCTCTTACCCAGTGTGCCTAGACCAGGTTTTCAAAGGGCGGTCGGTTGTATAAGCTTCTTCTACGAAACATCGTGTATACCACGGGTGTTTCTGCCCATACCTTCGGAAATGCTTAAAAATTAAGAAATCAATAATTAGAAAAAGATACCAAATTTTAGCTAGTTAACTTTTTAAAGATAAAAAATAAACATACGGTTCCAAAAGAAACTTACTGATCGCTATCTAAAACCCATAAATCAGTCAAACTGTGACGACACGAGGGTAAAACTTACCCCTCGTGCAACAGATGCAAGGCCAGCGATGTCAAAACGAAGTTGATATTTTTATTGTCATTGTTCTCACTTCTCCGGCCTTGCGCCTGTGGCACGATTGAAAACTAGTGCACCCGATTGGCCGTCGCCATGTGCAACGTGGCGACGGCCAATCGGGGGTCACTTTCAGCTGCCAGTTTATCGCCCTAAGGCCCCCCTAGCTCGTTGAGAAAAACAAAGGCCAACCACCAGACCTGTCGTACTTCCCTATGTCCATGCAGACGCGGCAAACAGTTCCAAAAACGATTTGGTGGAGTTGTTGAGAAGTACTAAAAAGCAAAAACTACTTTTAATGAGTAGAATATCGCTTCAATCTTCCACCCTTGGAGAAAAGGTTTCAAAGAAAGCGGACGTTTCCTTGTTAAAAATAAGTCATGCGTGAATTGCTTGAAATTCATTGCAATATCAATCTTCTGCTTAAGCCCTCATGTTAAAATAGTGCAGGACTTTAGGATGTAAAATTCAATGAATAAAATTACTCAAAAGCTTACTGTCCAATCTGTTGAGAGGAGTTAAAAAAAAGAAACTTCAAAAAATCGGCCAGTTAAAAAAAGAAACTTCAAAAAATAGCGAAGCTGGTAGATTTATTAAAGCTCCATTAATATACTTAGAGCAGATTTGCTAAGCGTTCTTAAAGTCCTTAAATGAGCTAAATCTCTTAGCGAAACGCTAGCTGCCTGAATAAATATTCCACGAAATGCTTTTTGAAACATTTTCCGGTTGAAAGCATTTATCGCAAATTAAACGAAGTGGCCCGGGTAGCACTCCAGGGATGCGCCTAACTCGGCTCAAGCTTCGCAATTCGAGTGTACTAAGCTAGGCCTAACACGGCTCTGCTCCAAGGCGTTGGTTAGTGCCAGGGTACTCTCCGTTTGGGTTATTATGGTATTCCCTGGATCGCAACAGAATTCACGAAGTGCCAGACTTGACCCAAAATTTTACGTATGAACCGGGGAACAATAGTGAAGTCTGAATCGGACACTTCTTTGCCAAGTTAGGCCCAAACTTGACATCTTAATATCAAACAATCAAACGTGATGCCTACGTCCGGCACTTATTTGACGATTCATACACAAACATCCCAAATGACACCCAAAAGAACCTACAGTAAAGCCTACCTTGGAAACTTGTTTGGTGAACTCGGGTCAAGATACCCAAAGTCAGATCAAGGAAGGTCAATTTTAGATTTGCCTTAATTTTTCGCACGTTTTACGACCCTAAATTATCGCAAAACCACCAAATTTCGGTTTAATGAACCGGGCTACCTGGGGGTGAAAGGAGGCACACTCAGTTCGTGAAAAGACGGTGAGAGTGCAGGCGAGCTGGTGGTAGCTAATCACGTCGTATTACACCTGAGACTGCGGTGGAAGAAATCGGAAGAACTTTCAGTAGAAGGAACAGACACAGAGAACGTCTCAAACTCAGCTCAGTTTGAGACGTTCTCTGTGTCTGTTCCTTCTACTGAAAGTACTTCCGATTTCTTCCACCGCAGTCTCAGGTGTAATACGACATGACACTATATGAACATCCTGTCATGCATCGTATCTGCTTTCCGCAGTCGGACCTGTCATCACAACGGTTCTGGAGCTACTCTGCACCGGATCAAATCCCCTGCCCGGCTGCAATATCCAACTGGGCAACAATTCGACGTGCCAAGATCCAATCACGTTCAGCTTCTTAAGTGGTCTGGGTGTCGAAAAGGTAAAAGACGTACTTCTAGACAGGCCGTATACCCATATTGGTCATATACATAGGTGTAGTTTGAACGCGTATAGTGTTACGTCTGTGTTTTTTAATGTGTAATGCGGCTTTGCTCGAGCTGCTTAATACCTAGCCTATTATCGTCAGGTTTGTTACTTAGTGATGCACTTCTCGAAGTTCTTACTTATCAGTTGATGCCACAATTTCATTAGCCGCGGAGCAATAGTAAGGTGCTCGGAGCAAAATACTCTCTGCGTTTCTTCACGGGCAGTGACTAAAACCACTGGCACAGCTTGATCATTAAACGTTTACCACTTTTGCAGCGAGAATCCCATTCTTTTCACGGGCAACATATTTCTGCAGTTTCGGGAGCCTCCGAGCCCGTGTCGAAAAACTCAGTCTAATGTTTGAAACCCATGACAAAGACAAACATATTATCCATTTTAATGTCTTTATTGGTAATAAAAGAAAAAGGTTTCATGTTGTATTTTCCCCTACCTGCATTAGCAATCACGATACCGTTTGTTCTTCTGAATGGTGGCACAGATAAACCAATTTCTAAGTAATATAGTGGTCAAAGTACATTGCAAGGGAGTACACACGAAAGACTCTGAAGGTGCTTTAACGAATGTTAAATATACATGGGAAGACGACGTTCTCTGTCAGATTTAATATAGAGTCGTTTAATGCGTTGTTTTGACCAGGAACCATTTTTTTTTGTCAAGACCTGATGAAGAGCGGTGCAGTAAAGAGCATACCTGCCAGATATTCATAAATCTTAGATGCAGAACCCAACTGAGCAAATTTTGTTTGGTGACTTCAAACTTTAAATTCTTTTTTCCCACTAAAATGCACTCATCTGAAAAAAAAAAAATTAGTAAATATTACACTTGGATTTCGAAATGAATGGTTTCTAGTTTGCTTAAAAAAATGAAAAGATGACTGGCAATATTTCGGCGCACAGTTGGGTTGTATAAGATATATATTTATGGGCGAGATATTCTTCCTCAGACACTCGTTTATGCATGCAAATTAGAAGAAATACGTTTATTGGGTGGTAGAAAATGTAATTCACTTGTTTATTTTGGAAACCCTAGCATCGTGTGTAAATTATGCAGCCGAAACTTCTTGAAATAGAAAATTCCGTGTTTAAAGTTACACAATAACATAACAACCCTGTGTTAACGTTCAGGCGCTATCTTCAATGTATGTCCGCAGAAAAGAGCAAACATTCGGTTGATGTTGTTCTAACGTTTGCTTCATATTTATTTTTCAGTGTATCAATAACCTTACTCAAGTGTGCCAAAATGGGCAGCCGGCGACGGTAAGCTTCACTTTCTTGCGCTTATAAACATTTCATTTCAAGAACACTGTCTGATCTGTTTTTCTCGTTGCTATAAATATTTCCAGGCAAGCGTTATCCAGGGATTTTTCAAAACACTTACGGTAAGTGGAGAGGCCACAGTTTTGCCATTTTACCTAACCATTTGAGCGCAAACTTTGCGCCCCTAAAAGCGGTAAACAACCTTTTTAGATTAAAATACAACTAGAACTCTAAGAAATCTATTTCGTGTATCTGCCCGCGAAGCACCTGAGGAAGGCAATTTCTGCGATCTACGCACGGTTCTCGCCCAATGACTTGTCTCTAGATGATATTTTCTCCTAGCAATATTAACCGTTGCGTCCAGCTGTTTTTTTACGGAGTGCATCATATGGAGAATCTGGGGCAGGATTGACCTTTTTTCAAGCACGCCACAAAAGTTTGCCCGCCGGCTACTGACAGACGCGGCGGCAACTTCTTTTGTGACTTCCATATAATCCACTGGTCGACGTGATAGAGAGAGGAGAGAGGGCGGAGGGGGGGGGGGGGGGGGGAGGTGGAGGTTCGAGGCTTGGGTAAACAACCGGCAGTGTTTGGCGCGTGTGTGTGGATACGACCTCCGAAGTTTTCTTGCTGGCTTACGGCCCTGTTTGAACGGGCCGCCATCTTTGCTTCTGTTCTCACGCGCGACTAGTGTCCCGGGTCGACGCTTTCAGCGCTCTTCTTGTACGCGGTGTTCATCGTTTCCGCCGCGGCGAAGACTGTTTTTTACCGCCAGTATCGCAGGCCATCGTGTCGCCGCCCTTTTCGGAGGTGGTCGGTGTACAGATATAATACGTCGCGTGAACTCTCCTCGGTTTACCATCAAGAGCCATTTTTCTCAAGAAACGAGCGCGAAAGGGTTTCCTGCTTGCGAAAGAGCGGGACATTCAAATTGGTCAATCACACGTCTGACTTGTTTAGGTCGTTCTCGACGTCACACCGCAGACGATTTTCTCTAATGGCGAATTGAACTGGGCGTTTTGGAGCGCGCCGCGGTCAGTTGACCAGATCCGGAGCGGAGCACACGATTCGAACGGGGTCACGCCGCCTACGGATCCCCAGTGGAACATGACCACTGCTCCGGGATCGGCGGATTCCTTCCCGTCGTTCAACTGCCCGGGAATCCCTTTCCGCGGCCGCCGTGGTCGTTTCGAAGACGTTTTCGCAATCGCGGCGCTAACATGTGTTCGACGCACGAGCGGCAGGAATGGCTCAGGAGCTTCGAGCAAAGATTGCCGGAATACCCGCAGCGCGGCCAGAGCGTTCTGTTCTCCTTCCTGGGAAACGAACCGGCTGTCGAGCCAAGGTGTAAGCAAGCGGCCATTACGAATTCTTAGGCGAGATCAGGAGAGATGCCCCGCGAGAAAGAAAGTCACCTGTGTGAGCCGAAGGCTGGCCCAGCTGGCTTCCGGTTGAATCCGCTGAAATAGTTGGAGCGACTTTTCTCGGATCCAGACCGAGAACTAGAGCGGGAGCTAATTCAAAACGACCAGTGGAACACGTCCGTCTCGATCTCGATCGCCCAGTGAAATAGGCTCGGTCCAGAAAAGTCGATCCCGGCGCGCTCCAAAACGACCAGTGGAATTCGCCATAAGGTGGAAACATATTTCCACGTCGTCATTAGGAGACGTCCTTCTTTAGTTTGCAGCCGTTGGCTGTCCAAAGTTTCTTGCAAGGAAGTAGACGCATTGTGTTTTTACAGTGCGGAATGAACCCTTTTCAAATGTTCGCGCCATCTACAAGCAGCTGAGCCAATAACCCCAGTATCGCCATTGAATGGGCACGTACTCAGAGCATGTATTGGACACGAGAACTGCGTCAGTGTTCGGTGAGGGCTCGCATTCACTTACATGGTTCGTGCCCAAGAAGTGTCGACTGCTAATGTTTCTTGATACAGTTTTGGAAAGCACCAGTTGCTCCTTTTACTGAAAGGAAGTTTAGTGGTCAAGCAAAAGTTTCGCCTTATATCATTCTGCCTGAAACGCGTCTCTGACTGCTATTTTCACCAGGTCAAAAAAGTGATTCCTCGATCTGCCCGCCCGATGACGTCATAGAAGTATCATGCTCTCGACGGTCGCGACCCTGGCAGTGTCAGAGCAGCTATGGTGGACCTGCCAGACGCCTGTTTAGCTTCCGGTCGCTCTCCGGATTGACAAATCATGGAAAATGCGGCAGTTAGGGACAGGAACACCCTGACGAAGGCGATACTTGCATTGTTCGCTCTTCTTGCCGGAAGTTCTACCACCACCTACCAGGGTCGCAATTTCTGAGCGAATAAGACATCGACTTTTGTGACGTAATTTGCTGCTATTTCGGAACCACTTTAGATGCTTAGGCGGAATAGGACGCGCAAAACTCCAGTCGGATACGCGTTCCAGACATCGTACCTAGTCTAAACTTGAGCTGTTTCCTACTGCAGTGCCTGGCCGGGGCCGTTCTCAGCACCAGCCCTAGTGGAGCCTCTTCCAGCATCGTGTGCATTATAATCAAACTTATTCAAACGTCGACGGGAGGGAATGAAATCATTGGTGCCCTCTTGACCTTTGTCCAGGGCCTCCCTGGAACTACATGTATGAATTCCTATTTTTGAGCACCTACATGAGTAGACAATGATATTGTTAAAGGTGCACTCTGGCGTTTTTTTTTGTTTTTTTTCAACTACCAAAATTAAGCCTATATTCGGAATACGCAAGCTATACTTTTTCCGACAGGCTGTTTTTATCTCTAAAGTCAAAATATTGCTTCGAATTTTCGCCTGCACTCCAGCGGGATAACGTCACAAGTGTAACTTGCGAGTCGAGAACTATGTCTCAAAAGATGTTTATTTTTTTTAGGATATTTCTCTTTATTTTTCTGGTGTAAGCTTAATCAGCACTTATTTTGCACCATAACAGATATTGTTATCGGAATACACAAGCTATACTTTTTCCGACAGGCTGTTTTTATCTCTAAAGTCAAAGTAGCTAAGTTCATGCAAAATATTGATTCGAATTTTCGCCTGCGCTCCAGCGGGATAACGTCACAAGTGTAACTTGCGAGTCGAGAACTATGTCTCAAAAGATGTTTATTTTTTTTAGGATATTTCTTTTTATTTTTCTGGTGTAAGCTTAATCAGCACTTATTTTGCACCATAACAGGTATTGTTATCTATTGGGGAAAAGCTGTACCGCGCTCATATAGCCCTCTGTTACATCCGATGTCACGTTTTCAGTGTTATAAGTAGAGCCACTCAGCCTCTTGGACCGAAATTGAAACTCTGATAACTCCACGAAAACAATATTGTCACCTGTAATTTGGTTACAAGTTCAGATTTGTGTATTATTTCGTTAAACTAATTTCGAGACAAATAAGTGAATATCATTATTTCATCTCTAAAATGTGCAAAAAGTTGATGGTCGCTGGCCTGACTGGAAATTGGTGAAAAATAACTATAGACACGGCTTCGCTCATTACCAAAATTATAGGACAAAATGCTTTTGTTTCGCAATGGTATTTAATTTTTATATTCCGTCCTCTGTTGTTTTGACAGCTAGATCAACCTGCAAATTTTATGGGAAAGCGCGAGGAAATTTGAACGATGGGTGTGACATAAGCCGTTTTCTCATTATTCTGAATTGAGAGTTAATAAATAGCTTGCCGGGAAAAGTAAATAATGGGCGTTTTGAAAACGTATTTAGTTCGGGTCGTTAAAATATCCTTAAAATCTCCCCTTAAAAACAAAACAGATGAAGTACGACTTGAATTATTTTTAGAAATATTTTTTTAAACCTTACATGGCTTGTGTTTAGATCACATCAGCTTCCATTACCCCGTACCATGTCCCTATGCCCGCACCTTTCGCAGCATACATTTGGCACCATCAAATTGCTTGCCTGGAACAAATTCGATGATGCCGAGTGCATGCTGTAGAAGGTACGGGCACAGGAACAGGGTACGTGGCAATGGCTGCAGGTAGAGTGTTATAACGTCGCGTGCAAGGCGCGTACGTGTAGACGTTTGCAAGCACCCATGCTTCGAAAGCTAGTCTGGCCAGCGTAGGCAGAAAATGCACAATTTGTGCTCCAGGATGGCAACTTTGGGCTTCCCTTAGCAAGGTGACAGTTACAAAAAGATAGAGTGGAAGGAAATTGACAGGGAAGAAAAATCATACTTTAGGCATCTTGCCTAGGTGGCGCAAGCTGCCGCCAGATTTAAAGGGTGCAGCCGTTAGTATCTATCCATACGAGCCTGACTCTCATCCCCAAACGTCACATCTAATGGTACTGCGCAGCGCCACCTACCTTGCGTCAGCGTCGCCGCCAACGCTACCCGCAGCGCCTCACAACGGGGCCGACGCTAGCAGGCGGTGACGTCAAGACGAACGCGTGTGGCGCTTTGCGGCGGATCTTGTCCCTGCTTCAGCGTACGTGTTTGTCCGCTGGGGCAGGTCGGGGATCCACAAAAAATGACGTAATGCGCAGGACTTTTCTCCTGGGGGGTATTGTCCACACAGGGCGGCAGCAATATTGTGGTACCTTGGGGCCGTACTTGCAAACGTCTCTACATGCGTTTATGTCTTCAACCACGGAGTACATATAAACTGCCTTGCGCGGCGAGCTCTATAATTGCTTAATTTTTTTGTCGGATTGGTGCCGTTTGTTTTTATGAGCAACTTAAGAAATAGATGTACATTTAAAAATTGTATATTGTTTAGTTTTTGTTGTAGTAGACACCATCTACATTCTCTCCCAATATATTTTACGAGCTCTTCTAGAAGCAGGTAGTTTGAGTTCGATGTCATCTCCTTAAAGGCCGACGTACACTTCGCGCTTTCCACTTTTGCCCTCCCCCTGCTTTCATATATCCTCTCCACTTTTAAGCTTGCCCCAACTTGGCTGTCCTAGCAGATTAGGAGAGGGGAGCGCTAACAGGATTATCTTCCCTGCAGAAAACCGAGGTTGTACGTCGGCCTTTAAGCGCCTCTTTGCCTGTCTCGCTTCCTTCTCTGTCGGGGTACAACTAAGAAATCAATGTTTGTTTGTTTTTTTGTTTTTTTTTTTCTCGTAAATTTAAGATCTTAGTTTAGGATCAAACTGTAGGGTTAAATGCGCGAATAATATGACGAAACGCAGAGTCTCGATGGCGCTTGAAAAAAAAAGTGAAAACATGTAAAATACTTTTGTTTCTTCTGCTCAGGCTGATCGCACGGAGACTCGAAGATACCGACCGGTTGCCGTCACCCACCGATATCAACATCTCAAGTTGCCTAATCAGGAAACGTTCTTTGTATTAAAAAAACCCTATGCGGAGGGCAAGTTCGTCTGCTTCTTGCGCAGGGGGTAGCGATGACGTTAGAATGCCGAGCCCTGATTGGCTGATCGCGACCCCCTGTCTGAGCGTCGTCTGCTCCTTTGCAACGTTGTCTGCTCGCAACGTCGTCTGCGTCTGTATCTTACACTGTTAGCAAGTGCCGTGTATTTGGTGAATATTTGGGGTGAAAAACACGCTATTTACACAAATTACCATAAATTTACACGATGAGTAACGGATAATACGTTCAGATATCATGCGAGGTTGTAAAAAACGTGTTTTGTTTCGGTCATACACGCATAACCGTGTAGCCGACCTCGATAACACGCATCGCCTCCGGCGACGACCGCGGCATTGCCGGCTATCGAAGCACCGCAATGCTTGGGGACACACTTAGAAAGGACCGTCGAGACAAATGCCGCGGAAAGAAACATGTCTCGGAAGCAGATATGCACCAAAAGCAATTACGCCATGTCGCGGGACGTTGGCGAAACCCGCGCTTACCGTGGCTCGCCGCCATATTCTGGTCGATGGCAATGCGGCTTCCCTCATGTCGCCCATGTTTGCATTTAGTTTAGGGCTCTTGATAATAGTTTCTTACACACCACAAATAAAGTCATGGGTCCAATTATTCGTTCAAAACAGTTAAAATGGATATAAAAAGCGTGTCTTCGATGCGAACACGTGACATTGCAGTTGGTTTCGTTTTTGCTTCAACCTTCAACTGCAAACGATCTGGCCACGGCGCAAGCGCCGATGTATGCTGGAAGCAAGAGCCGGTTGGCTTTCGTTCTTTTTGTTTGACCGGAGAAAATCTGCGCATGGCGCCGCTATTGTTTTGGGTTGACGGGACGCGAGAAGCTTCGCATAGAGCTTCGCAGTTTGCAAGGACATAGTGAAGACGTGGCCGTAGAAGTGCCCCTGTGTTGTTCCCGGAAGACGGAAAGTACCATTCGTCGTGTGTGCTTTGAAAGCGAAGGGTGTCGCAGGGTCCACGAGTGCGCAACCACAAGCCAAGGTTCACGACAGCGCTGCGTTGACTTCGGCGATCTCGTTCTGTTTGGGGCAACACGGCGATGCGAGAAAGAGCCGAAACGTTCGTGGTGTGTGGTGCGGTGCTTGGAGGTAGAAACCCGCACTAACAGGGAGCTCAGATTGGTTGTTGTGGGGTTGCGTTTGACGGGTTCAGCCCCGTCGTCGTCAGCTGATCCGGTCCAGCTGGTGCGGGAGGACGTAGCGAGCGTTTTTAAAAGTAAATCTTCCTTCGTTCCGTTTCAAAATGTGGAAGATTCCCGACGCATACCGTGAGTAAAATGCTGCGGGCGTTTTCAACAAAATTACGTCGTTTTAATTGAACAAGGGACTTCGGATAGTTTCCCTAAATCTGCCGTTTCTATGCTTCGTGTCGTTAGACTGCATTTGCACAGCGACGTGTTCGCACAGCGACGTACACCGCTCGAGTAGATGATTCGGTCCCGCAAACGACCGGTTATACAGAATTTCAGGAAAACTTAAGTCACCACCGATGTTTTCCTGTAAATCTCGTGTGACTCGTGTGAGTTTGTTGCGCTCATCATGCGGTGTGAATAAACTAGGGCAAGATTTTCTACCTGCCCACAGATGCATGAACTGAGAGCAATTTTTTACGTAGAGAACATAGTGGTTTTTCTTTACATTGGGAAGAGGCCCGAATGTGTCTCTTTTCCCTCTGGCACTGCCCCAAGTTTCAAGTTGCAGTTTCAGTAGACATACCTACTAACAGGTACAGACTGCTCTAAAGCAGGTAAAAGACTGGGAAGTCAGGACGGTGCGGACACCGTGTTTTGCGCTTCTCGCAAGGTGACTGATGCTTTTGCGAGGTATGCGGAATATGCAAACGATTTTGTTATGCCCTTCGTTTGCGTCTCCAGAAAAAAGAATAAGATTATTTACAAATTTAGGCGCAATCACAAGCCAAGATTTACGATAACAGTGCGTTCGCTTCGGTGGTCCGTGTAGTCGTATTATACGCTGCTTTCTGCAACACCGCGTCATGACGAAGAGCTGGAACGGTAACGGTCTGTGCTGGGCTAGCGGTTGACAGAAACCCGCATCGCCCGCATCGGCACCGAGTGCACTTGGGCTGTTGATGCTCGAGCCTTTCATACGCGGCTTGTCGCCAGCTGATCCTGCTGCTCGACGGTGAGGACGCGGTGAGAGTGACCTCTGAAGTAAATGTAAGTCCTGGTTCATCCAGTTATCCAGTGTCAAAGTGTGGAAGATGTCCAACGTGTACTGAGGGCGGGAACTACGAGCGTTTTG